TTTGCTTATGTGGTGCTGAGGAATCGAACCCAGGGCCTCATGCATGCAAGGCAAGCGCTCTACCACTGAGCCACCTTCCCAGCCCCTGTCCCTGAGTTTTTTTGCTCAAGGCTAACTCTACCTCTTGAGCCACAGCTCCACTTAGGGCTTTTTGGTAGTTGATTCAAGATGAGTTTCACAAATTTTCCTGCCTGGACTGGCTGAACTGTGATCCTCAGATCTCAGCCTCCTGAGTAGCTAGGATGACAGGCGTGAGCCACAGGCTCCAGCTTGCACACTGGCTTCTTGGAGACAGAAGCAGCCGAGGCTGGGCTTGGGCAAAGCTGGATCCTTGAGGGAACCTGCTAGCGGAGCCCTGCCGTCTCCCTGGAGGCAGAGGCTGCAGATTTGAGGGCGTGTGCTAGCTTGTCATGGGGCAATAGAGTGGGTTGAGTGTGTGCTGAGTGACTTCCCGCCCTGGCATTGTCATGGCAGGGCTGAAAGTCGCCCTGGAGACCTCTAGGTGGCGCCTGAGCGCGGGGCGGTTGCCATGCCATCGGTCTCAGAGGAACCTGGGTCACCTTTGAACGTGAAACAGACACAAATGGTGACAGGGTGACTTCATGTAGGACAGGAAGTCCCGAGTGCAGGGCCCTTGGAGTTGCTCTGACGGGAGGAGCAGCATGGGTGTTACAGGAAAGGTGAGCTGTGGTCTTGGACCTACTTGATTCTCCACAATGGCTCTGTTGGTGGTTTAAGGACTGGTTCTGGCCGTGTAGGGCCAGACCTTGGCCTCTCCCTTCACCACCAAGGGCCATCCGTCATGGCTGGCAGAGGGAAGTGTGCGGGAGGGGCCGCTGTCCTGCCTCACCCGCAGTGCTGTGCACTGTGGACGGGCATTGAGTGCAGGTCTGTGCTGAGTGGAGAACATGCCCGGCCCCTATCCTGGTGCGTGGGGGGGACCTGGCTGGGGGGAGGTGCGGCAGGTGGCCTGTGGGGGCAGGGGAAAGGGCAACACACACTGCTTTGTTGCTCATGACACCTGACATCTCTGTCCTCTTCTTTTCCAGACAATTTATGAAAACCGAATATACAGCCTTAAAATAGAATGTGGACCTAAGTACCCAGAAGCGCCCCCCTTTGTAAGATTTGTAACAAAAACTAATATGAACGGAGTTAATAGTTCTAATGGAGTGGTAAGTTGGTTTTGTCTCCCACTTCCCTGTCCTCTGGCGGCTCTCCGTCCTCCTGTGGGCGCTGGGCGTGGGCTGCTTCGCGTTGCAGGGGCTGGGGTGCGGTGGGCTGTGTCTCAGGCAGGCTTGGCTCTGGTCGTGTCTCCTAGTCACTACGATGTGAGCCCATTCAGTCCTCTCAGCACCCGAGGCAGGATGAGGAAATGGAGGCACCGAGGTGAAGTGCTTGCCTGTGCCTGCTGCTCGTTTAGCTCATTTGTGTAGGCCAAACACCTAACACAAAAATGGGAAGTCCGATTGCTGCAAAATACCAGACTTGCCAGGAACCAGCGGCCTGTAAGCCTCACAGTTCCAGAGGCTGAGATCTGAGAATGCTGGTTCAAAGCCAGCCCAAACAGGAAAGTTCCTAACTACCAAAATAGCCAGAAGTGGAGGTTTGTCTCAGGTGTGGTAGAGCACTAGCTATGAGCACTCCTGACCTTTGGGGCCAGAAGGGCTTCAGACCTGATCCTGTTGCTGAGCCCTTGCAGCTTGTTCCCAGGGCTGCGCCGTGGCTCCCAGGGTGCACAGCAGCTGCAGCCATCTGCACGGTGCCAGCCCCCTGCATGCACTGCCTTTGCAGAGAGCCTGAGTTCACTGGGATTGTCTTTCCTCTTCATAGGTGGACCCAAGAGCCATATCCGTGCTAGCAAAGTGGCAGAACTCCTATAGCATCAAAGTCGTCCTGCAAGAGCTGCGGCGCCTGATGATGTCTAAAGAAAACATGAAACTCCCCCAGCCTCCGGAAGGACAGTGTTACAGCAACTAATTGAAAGCCCCGCCCCTCGATTTCCGGGCCTCCATCTTCCACAGTAGTCAGTTTCTAGATCCGTCTGTAGACCTTCAAGTACTGGAAAGGAAGCTCCCATTCGAGGCAGTTCATCCTAAGACACTGTACATGATACTAATTCTGTCCGTTTGAAATATATGAGTTGTACTATAACAGACCATCTGTCAATGTAACCACTGTCCTCCTTGCCCGGGATCGGACGCAGCCGAGCTGACCCCGCGCTGACCGGCGGGCGCTGCTGACTCAACTGTGAACAGACTCGGCACACAATCACTGCTGCTGCAACGCCTGGGGTCTCTGCCCCCCCCCCCAGTCCTGTCCTGCGGCCCCCTCCTCCCTGCCTGCCAGTGCACCCGACGTCTGCCCCCCCTCCCCAGTCCTGTCCTGCGTCCCCCTCCTCCCTCCCTGCCAGTGCACCCGACATCTGTCCCCTCCCCAGTCCTGTCCTGCGTCCCCCCTCCTCCCTGCCAGTGCACCGATGTCTGCCCCCCTCCCCCATTCTGTCCCCTGCTCTTGTTCCCACCCCCACCCTTCATGCTGACACTCCTAGGGTGTGCTCCCCCCTTCCCATTCCTATTCCCCATGTCCTGCCCTTCATGCTGACATGTCTGGGCTCTGCCCCCCTTCCCTGCTCCTGTCCCCATCCCTCCATGCTGGCACGTCTGGGGTGCACCCACCCTTCCCTGTTCCTGTCCTCCCCATTCCTTTTCCCCTCATCTCTCTGTGTTGGCACGCTGGGGTCTCTCCCAATCCCTGTCCCCCGAGGCCCCCCAGCACGGTGGCTCCTTAGAGTAGATGCAGCCTGGGGACGCGTGGTGTGAGGCTCTCCCTGCGGCCCGGCTTTCTCTGCAGACCTCCAGCCCCTCGAATGCGCTCCCACCCTCCCTCCCTCTCCCTGCGCTGCCGGGGGGGGCGCTTTCTTCCTCTCCTCCACCCCCTTGCTGCCCCACACCCCCAGCTACCAGGTGAGGCCGCATCTGAGGCCTCCTCAGTCCAGCCAGGCCTGCCCCATGCCCACCCCGCTGCCGCCTCAGCCAGCCCTCAGCTCGGGGTCTGTAGGTGACAGCCTCCTGGTGGCACCTGCCCCAGCTCAGCCCGGGGATGGGGACGGCCACAGGAGGCCCGAAGCACACATCCTCTCCTTCCCGGTCCCCACCGCTTTGCTTTGAAATGTGGAAGGTTTGCACAGGCCCGCCCTGCCCTCGGGTCCACCGAGTCAGTGGGAGCCCCCCCCCCACTGCTGCTCCTGAGGCCCTCTGCCGGCTTGGGGGAAGCTGGGCAACACGGGAGGTGGGGGGCTGGGGGGGGGCGGCCCTCTCTGTTAGGACCACTAATCGCTGGGCGGACGCGAACCGAAATAAAGGCAGTTCATCGTGTTCTGAAGGGTTTCGTGTGTGGCATCTGAAGCGGCAGCTACAATGGTTGGAAAAGTGTTTCTTTTCGTGGATGTTTCTGTGGGGAAATCTAGGGGTGAGGACCTGACATCCTGTAGGAGAAGTTTCTCAGCAGTGGCCTGCAGCCTTTGACGGTCACAACATTGCCTGGGTGGAAATAATAAGCGTGAATAAATATTTACCAAGCTGTGTTCACTTCCTCCTGCCATTCCAGGTGAGGGCGGAAGCTGCTTTGGTTTTGAAATCTGCCCTGGAAGTAGGTTCCAGGCTGGCGCTGGTGCTCACGCCCGTCATGCTAGCTACGCTAGAGGCTGAGATCTGAGGATCACGCGGCAAAGCCAGCCTGGCGGGAAAGGCTGTGAACCTATCTTCAGTTACCCACCAAAAAGCCAGAAGCGGAGCTGTAACTCAAGTGGGTGAAAAGGCCAAGCAAGAGCATGAGGCCCCAAGTTCAAGTCCAGCATTGGCATTCACACACAAAAATGGGCTGATTTGGACCACAGATTGATTGCTTTGCCACTCTGTCTAAAAAGGTTCTTTGGTTCTGTTGCTATGTAGGATTTGGGTTGTTAAATATACAATAAAAGTTCTTTCCTATCTGGGACTGCTGGCTCAGGCCTGTCTTCCTAGCTACGCAGGAGGCTGAGGTCTGAGGGTTGTGATTTGAAGCCAGCCCAGGTGGGAAAGTCCATGAGACCCCAGGCTGGCTTCAAGCCACAATCCTTAGCTCTCAGCCTCCTGAGTAGCTAAGATGACAGGCCTGAGCCACAGATGCCCGATTCCATGAGACTCCTCTCTAGTAAACTACTCAGACAAGGCCCGAAGTGGTGCTGTGGCTCAAGTGGTAGAGCAGAGCTCTAGACGAGCACAAAGAGGCTCAAGGACAAGACGCGGGCCTTGAGTTCAAGCCCCAGGACTGGCAAAACGAAACTAAAAACAGCTCTTGACTGGCTGGGCTTACTTAGTCTTGGTTGCAAAAGGGAAAAACTAGTGAAATCGTCGCCTAATTCTGGTGAGCGCTGCCACCACTGTGGAGTTGGGGACTCGCCGCTGCTTCACCCAGGATTTGAGTTTCCAGCCGGGGGCCTGGCCCTGGGCCTGCTCCGGTGTCAGTGCCAGCCACAGGCCACACCCCAGACCCCCTTCCCTGCCTCCGGGGTGAGCTCTGCCTGGGAAGGGCAGCGCGGGGCGGCCAGCCCCTGCACCAGCACAGTGCGCGCGCGCGGTGGCTTCAGAACGAGCGGCTGGAAACCTAACGGGCCGGGCCGCCAGGCGCGAGGCAGCCTTGCCAGCCCCTCAGGTCACCACTGTCCCCGCCCAAGCCTCAGCCTAGCAAGCCCTGCCCACTCCAGGACACGAGTGACCACAGCACTGGCTCAAACCAAAGTCCTCCAGCTCTCAGCCTCCTGAGTGGCTGGGATTGCAGGTGTGAGCCTGTAGAACCACGTAAAGCCCAGTGGTTCTGGGTGGTTTGGCAGGCTGCCATACGCAGCTGTGCTGGCCGTGGCACTCGCAGGCAGGGAAACCTGAGGCTCCGTGGGTGCATTTTCAGCCTCCACCCGGTGGGCTGCCCCGAAGCCCATGCAGGAAGGATGGCTCCTCACGCCACTGCAGGGCCGCGGCCCGCGGCTGCGCTGTTCAGCGCGGTGGGCTTGTGGCCAGCTGTGGCCCTCTGCCTTTGTGTCGCTTGCCAGTTCTGGCGTTGTTTTGGGTTTTGTTGCTTTGTTGGTTGTGGGCTTGAACTCTGGGCCTGGGTGCTGTCCCTCAGATCTTCAGCTCAAGGCGAGCGCTCTACCGCTTGAGCCACAGAGCCACTTCTGGTTTTCTAGTGGTTTATGGGAGATGAGTCTCATGGACTTTCCTGCCTGGGATGGCTTTGAACTTGATCCTTAGATCTCAGCCTCCTGAGTAACTAGGATGACAGGCGTGAGCCACCGGCGCCCGGCTGCCAGTACCAGCGTTACACTCAGGGCCTCACCTTCTCACTTGGCTTCTTCCCTCCTCAAGGCCAGCGCTCTGCCACTGGAGCCGCAGTTCCACTTCTGGCATTTTGCTGGTTAATGGAAGTGTCACGGACTTTCCTGCCCGGGCTGGCCTTGAACTGCGAGCCTCCTATTTCAGCCTTCTGAGTAGCTAGGTTACAGGCCTGAGCCACTGGCCACACCTGGCTGCCCTCTACCTTCAATTAATTATTTAATTAATTAGTAGGTCATGGGGCTTGAACTCTGGTCTGGGCGCTGTCCCTCAGCTCTTCAGCTCGAGGCGAGTACTCTACCACTTGAACCACAGCGCCACTTCTGGTTTTCTGGTGGTTCATGGGAGATAAGAGTCTCATGGACTTTTCTCCCAGGCTGGCTTTGAACCGTGATCCTCAGATCTCAGCTTCCTAAGTACCTAGGGTGACAGGCCTGAGCCATCAGCCCCACCTGGCTGCCCCCTATACCTTTAAAAGCCAGTCCCCCACCCCCGCCGCCGTCCCCGACCTGCCCCAGCCTCACCCACAGGCCCAGCCTGGCCCTCCCTGTCCACCCTGCCGGCTGCTTGCAGGGCGGCGGGGGGGGGGGAGCGGGATGAAGGGGCGTTGGCGTTCCCCTGCTGCGCCCAGCATCTCGGCGGCCCATGGCCCAAGCTGGGGAAAGTGCCCTGGCACAGCCAGGGGTGGGCGCCAGGCAAGGGGACACCGTCCACAGCCCCGGCCGCGGTCATCTGGGGTCCCCAAGGCAGACGTGAGTGCCAGCTGGCAAGGACTGGCCGACTGGACCACGACGTCACCCCACCCCAGGACACGGCCACCCTTGACGCTGGCTTCATGTGACACAGCCGCTTCTAGGACGCATTTGAGGTAAAAGCCATTGTCTAGCGGCAAAGGCCAGGTAAGGCAGCATTCACTCCCCTGGGCTGCCCTCGCGTCACCCGGGCGTGCAATCCGGGGACCAGCGCAGGCTTATCGCCAGGTTCCTATCACAGCTGATAAACACCTGCTCTGCTCCGTGTGTCATCCACCATCCCCTCCCACCCCACCTGCGGGCTGGGAGCGAGGCCTGCGCCGCCGCTCCTACCTGGACCGCCTGGCAGACGGTAGGTGCTCAGTAGACACTGAGCTGAGCGTCTGTGGCTCACGCCTGTGATCCTAGCTACTCAGGAGGCTGAGACCTGAGGATGGCATTTTGAAGCCAGTTAGGGCGGAAAAGTGAGATTGTTAATTCCAATTAACCAGCAGAAAGCTGTGGCTTCAAGTCAAAGAGCACCAGCCTGGAGCAGGAAAGAAAAGGAAGAGCGCCAAGGCCCTGAGTTCAAGCCTCAGTACCAACACAAAACAAACAAAAATAAAGGTGGAAGGGCATGCAGGGGTGAGCAAGCCGGGGAGAGCGCGCTGCAGCCTCGCTCTGCTCCAGAACCAGGCTCTTCTCATGAGCTGTGTGACCTGGGCTGCTGCCTTAGTCTCTCTGTGCCTTTTGGGATCCATGTCACCAATACTCAAAGAGGTGAAGTCCTTGTCCCATTTCACTGCCAGAAGAAGGGAAAACTGGCACTGGTGGCTCACGCCTATCACCAGCTACTCGGGAGGCTGAGATCTGAGGATCAGGGTTTGAAGCCAGCCTGGGCAGAAAAGTCCCCAGAGACTCTTCTCGGCAACAAACCACTCAAAAAGTAGAAGTGTCTTGGGTGGTAGATCTCTAGCCCTGAGCACCGAGGCGCAGGGACAGCACCCAGGCCCTGAGTTCAAGCCCCACAACCGGAAAAAAGAAAAGCTGAAGCCCCAG